GGGAGGGAGGGAGGGAAGGAAGGAAGGAAGGAGGGAAGGGGAAGGGAAGGAAGGGAAGGGGAAGGGAAGTAATCTGATGGTTTTCCTAAAACATTCAAGCCAACTTTTCTCAATGACTCTGGCCAAGGAGTCAATCTCTGAGGCTTTTCCTCCAATGTTATTCTCTGTGCTTTCCAGAGCCTCAATGATGCTCTGCCATTGTTTCCAGCATTTTCTTGCAAGCTGTGGGCTCCCACTCTGCAATTTTGAGGGCCCTCACTCAGATCCTCTAGGAAGGCATAAATTGGCCAGGCCCACTCATTGCTTTGATGTTATTTCATCTTTTCTGAAAGCTTTGGGAGTTTCTCCTACGTTCAGTTGAACCATGTGGGGTGTGGCAGGCTATCCCTCTACCCCTGGGTTAGAGCAGAATCCAGCCCAGTTCGGTTCCAAAGCTCAAATGGTGAACTTCCTTCTTCCCTGGCTGTCTAGATACCATTCTTCCTCACCTGGACGTATCCATGGAAACTGCAGGACCCAATGCTTACAAGCAGGACACAGGGGCCCACCTTGGCTGAGATTGACTCCTGGGTCAGCAACATGCAACTCGTGTGTGGCTTTGGGCTTCACATCTCTTTTTTCTCTGAGATGGAGTCTTGCTATGCTGCCCAGTCTGGAGTGCAGTGATTCGATCTCACTGCAACCTCCCCTCCTGGCCTCAAGCTATTCCCATGCCTCAGCCTCTGAAGAAGCTGAGATTATAGGCACATGCCACCACACCCAGCTAATTTTTTGTATTTTTAGTAGAGATGGGGTTTCACCATGTTAGCCAAGCTGGTCTCAAACTCCTGACCTCAAGTGATCCACTCACCTCAGCCTGCCAAAGTCCTGGGATTATAGGCATGAGCCACCGTGCCCGGCCACTTCCTATCTTTGAAATTAGGCTCCTCTTGGGCTTGACCCATAGAATTCTGTATATTGGATGGAATAGAACATCTAAAGTATTCACTAAGGACTCAGCAAAGAGCAAACATCCGTAAACAATTTGTTTTCTCTAAAATACTCTGCTCAAAGATGCTAACGATAGTAATATTTGCATGGTGGTTTTTATTTGGCAAAAGTACCTGTTTCAGACTCCTAGTCTCATTGGGTCCTCCTCAAACCCTGGGAAACAGAAGCTATTTCTGTACCCGTTTTGCAGATGAAGGCAGGGAAACCTGGACCAGCCTCCTCTAGACGTGGGGAGTGCCCAGAGGGGCCCTCAGTTGACGCTGCCTTTTTCTCCTTTCCCAAGGTGGCATACACCGTCCTGGGCTTCATCCCTTTCCTCTTCAACCAGCCACCTCCGGAGAACCCCTTTCTCTCTGTCCACAGCTCCTACCAGTGGGAGCTCCACCTCACCTCTGCCCGCTGCCCACTGCTACCCGCCCGGCGTCCCCGAATGGCTGCCCCACTGGCCTCAGGGGCCCTGCAGCTCCTGGCAGGCTCCATGGTGCTCCTGGAGGCCTATGCCCGCCGCCTGCGGCACGCCATCGCTGCTTCCTTCTTCACAGCCCAGGAGGCGAGGAGGATCCGCCACCTGCACGCCCGGCTCCAGCAAAGACACAACAGGCACCAAGGCCACCAGCTGTCCCTGGGCGCTCCTTCGTGCCCCACACACAGACCTGCCTGCAAGCCTCCAGCATGGATAGACCACAGGCTGGCTGCCTTGAAGAACCGAGAGTAGTGAGGAAGAGGGGAAAGAGCTTTGGAGTTGCACAGACCTGAGTGGCACCCTTGGCCCTTGTGCCGCCTCCCTGTGTGACCTTTGGTAGGTCACTTCACCTCTCTGAGCCTCAGTTTCTTCATCTGCGTAACAATCTCGTATTTACCATTGATGCGACCTACTTTCTACACAGGGGTGTGGTCAGGATGGAAGGAGATACTGGGCGTGACAGGCCTGGATGACAGGTGACGAACCATGCAAAGGTGAAGTCAAAGAAGTGCAGGTCCAGGCTCATCTCACCTGCACCAACTGCTCTACCTGTTAGATGGAGACCTCATATCATGAATTCCTCTAAATGTTCCTGGAACTTACATGCTTCGAAATCCTCTAAGCTCATTGACAGTAACCCACAGTTTTAATTACATAAATAAATGTATTTATTAAATCTTAGATTATGTTATTCCTCTGCTTCAAATTTCTTCAGGGTCTTTCCATTGCCAGGATTAGATGGCCAAATTAAAACATAACACATTCAGTTCAACTTGGATTTCAGATAAACAACAAATACTTGTTTAGTTAAAAAATGAAATGTAACAGAGTTTAACTGAGCAAAGAACGTAGCCCCCAGAGCCAGAATAGGTTCAGAGCAACTTGGGGAGGGAGGTGCAACATGGTCAGATAATATTTATGGACAGAAAAAGGAAAGATGTACAGAAAACACATGTGAGACTTGGTCTCAAAAAAAACCAAAAAAGTTGTAATGAACATCTTTGTGTTCTTGTTTACATCAGAAGCTTTCCTTAGAACAGATGTAGAACTCCTAAACTACATGGCTACTTTCGAGATTTTAGTTTTTAGATGTCTGTTAGTTGGTATGGCGCACAGACATCTAAAATAGCCCCCAATGATCCCTACCTCCTCGTATTCATGCCCTTGTGTGGTCCCTTCTCCTTGAACGGGGGCAGGACCTTTACTCTCTGCTAGCTAATCAAATGTGACAAGGGTGATGGGATGTCATTTCTGTGACTAAGTTACATAAAATTGTAATTTCCATCTTGCTAGCAAACTTTCTCTGTTGCTTTCTTCTTGGCTTGCATGCTTTGATAAAGCAAAGTGCTATGTTGGTGAGGCCCATATAAAAGAAATGGCAGGCCCCAGTCCTACAGACCTCAAAGAAATGTCTTCTGCCAACAACCTTCTAAGTGAGCCTGGAAGTGGATCCTTGCCCAGTTGGGTCTTCACTTAGGACTCAAGACCTACCTGGCTGACACCTTGATTCTAACAGTCAGAGACCCTAAAGCAGAAGACTCAGCTAAACCATATCTGACCTCCTGACCTGCAGAAATGGAGATAAGAAATGTATGTTGTTTTAAACCACTACCTTTGTGGTCATTTGCTATGCATACGGAAGAATAGAGCTGAGATTCCCCAGAAGTCAACCCTGAGACAAGAATTTATGTGCAGGTAGTTTAATTGGGACGTGATTCCAGGAAGCACCAGCAGAGGAGTAGGGATGTAAGAGAAGATGGGGAAAAGCCTCTGCAGGTTGTATTATCAAACAGGTTGCTGCTGTGGACGACTCAGGCTCAGTCTCTCTGGGCACCTCTGCAAAATAGTGCAGCATCTGTGCCAGAGTTTTCTCCCCAAGAGTGTGGCAAGAAATCTGGGTATCTGTTCCCCAGCTCTCAGCTGTCACTGTGAATGGTAGGAAAACAGTTTCCTCCTGCTGCACTCCCAACGCTCAACAGAGAACACTTCTGTGACCAAAACACTATACAGGGGCATTCCCCAACTCAAGCCATTCTCCAGCAAACACTGACGGCATACCCTGTCATTCAATTCAATTCTGACACTAGCCACCTGGAGTTGGAGTCTGATCCCACAGGTTAAGGGCTCAGTCCCACAAGACTGCCTCCGCTTTACGTGCTAATTGCAAGTGGTAGCTGGTCAGCACACTTCTAACTGACCAACTATAAATTGGGGTTCCCATGACTCCCTCCTCAGGTTTGATAGTTCTCTGTAATGGTGCAGAGAACTCAGGGGCACGCTTATTTACACTTACCCACTTATTATAAAGGACATTACAAAGAATACCGATGAACAGCCAGATGGATGAGATGCACAAGGCAAGGTATGGGGGAAGGGGCACAGTGGCTCCATGTCCTCTAGGAGCACGCCACCCTCCAGGAACCCTTATGTGTTCAGCAACCCAAGCTCCCCAAGCCCTGCAGTTCAGGGATTTTTATGGAGGCTTCATCACATAGGCATGATCAATTATTAAGTCAATCTCCAGCCCCTCTCTCATCCCAGAAGGATGGGGGTTGCTGAAAATTCAAAGCTGCTCATGATGGCTTGGTCCTTCCAGTGATACTTCCGTTACCCAGGAAATTTCAAGGGATTTAGAAGCTCTGTGTCAGAAACTGGGGCCAAAGACCAAATATAGAACAAATATTAGAACAAAAAATACTTACAGCATCCCCATCTATAAAGGTTTTAGAAGCTCCTATCATCCTAGAAATCACAAAGGTCTCGGGAGCTTTGTGTCATGATCCACGGTCAAAGACCAGATATTAGAACAAAAGGTTCCCCTAGCACCTATATCTACAAGAGTTTTGGGAGCTCTGTGTTAGGAGCAAGGGTTAGAAACCAGTATGTATCTTATTATTTCACACATTGGCTGCGGGCTGCTCCTGGAGCTATAACACCCTTGGCACTTCCTGTCTGCCCTGTGCTTGGGACAGAGAGAAGATGCCTTCGGGTGCAGAGTCACAAGGGCTTGCAGGAGAGTACTCACTGCCTACAGAAGAACTGAAATTGCCAAGAGGATGTGGGAGGGGCTCCAACAGCATCTTCTTCCTGCTACATACTGGAAAGAATATAAGACGGGGAGAAGGAAAGGTCTGTGTTCCACTAAGTCCAGTGCTACCACTTTAGTAGCTATGTGACACTGAAGAAGTCACCAGGTCTCCCTGAGCCTCAGGTTCCTTTCCCAGTCAGTGGGGATAGCAGAACCTTCCTCATCCATGCTGGGTAATCATGAGAAGCATATTTCAACCAATCCTTGCACACCCTTGGTTTCCACTAACAATTTGTTTCTTCAGCAAATATTTACTGAGCACCTACTTTGTGTCAATCCCCACACTAGGCTCTTTCAATACCATCTATGCAAGCTCCATAGAGAGTTTGCATGCTAGATGAGAGACTGGCAGCAAACAAGCTAAAAAAATAAGTAAACAAGATCATTTCATGTTGAGATAGGCACTAGGAAGAGGATGGGGAGCAATCTTAGATGGGGTGGCCAGGGAAGACCTCTCTGGGGAGAGATGTCCTGTGAACTGAGACCTGAAGAATGACAGGAGCCAAGCATGCAACAGAAAGGGCACGAACATTCCAGGCAGAAGAAACCACACGAATGTATTTAAAGGACAGAAAAGGTCAGGCGTGGTGGTTAATGCCTGTAATTCCAGCACTTTGGGAGTCTGAAGCGAGCGGATCATGAGGTCAGGAGATCGAGACCATCCTGGCCAACATGGTGAAACCCTGTCTCTACTAAAAATACAAAAATTAACTGAGCGTGGTGGCACGTGCCTTTAGTCCCAGCTACTCAGGAGGCTTAGGCAGGAGAAGAGCTTGAACCCAGGAGACAGAGGTTGCAGCGAGCCGAGATTGTGCCACTGCACTCCAGCCTGGGTAACAGAGTGAGACTCCATCTCAAAAAAATGATAATTAAAAAAAAATTAAAAACAAAGGACAGAAAACAGCAGAGAGGTTGCTAGACAGCTTGTCTGAGGCCCCAACTCCTTTCAGGAGCCTCTCACCAGACTACCTGTTGGGTACCATGCCTAAGAAAAGAGAAAAAGTGAAGTTTGATTCCAGTCCTGTGGACAACCCCACACTTAAGTCTCAGGATCTTACTCTCTGGCCAGGGAAAGAAGATCTTGGGGCTGGGACTCCCATGTGGTGGGCTTGGTGCTTCCCTCCCCCTTCTATCCTAATAACCCTCTGGGGTAGGCAAAGGAGTATCAACATGCCCATTTTACAGATGAGGACGGTTTAGAGAGGATTGTGGTTTTCACCTAGAGTCGTGGTGGTAAAATCTAATCTTTCTCCTATCCAATCCAAGGAAGAGTCCTAGGCTTCCAAACAAGTGAGATGGGGAAGGGGCCCTAATTTGCCTTGTCTGGAGCAGAGGAGTCAGCACTGGGGTCACCCAGTTGGAGAAACTTGAGTTGTCTAAGAACTTGGAAACTTGGAAGCATCGAGCACCCTCAGCTGGCTGCCGTGGGACCATCTTAGGGAGAAGAGACAAGGGGGAAAAGAACCAGGTGAATGAAGTCTCCTGTTGCCCCGCCTTGCTCCTCACCTGGAAATGAGTTCCAGGTGCTGGGTTCCAGTCCTCGCGCCAGCACTTGCTGGCTACAGCAACGTCAGCACATTCCTCAGCTGTTTGGCATCTCAGTTTTTCCAAGTGTGAACTGAGGGTCCTTACGCCTAAGTCTGGGGGCAGCTGGGTCAAGTCCCAGAAGAGTGGGGATAGCGGGCATTGGAAAGGGTCAGAGGAGAATGGCCCTTGTTTATTGGCGCACTTTATAAGTATTCTTAAAACAGCTTTCTTGAGCTATAATTAATATATCATAAAATCCCCCCATTGGAATTACACAGTTTGATAATTTATGGTGAATTTTAGTGTTATGCAACCATCACTACATTCCATTTTAAGAACATTTATTATCCTAAAAAGTCCTTTTATACCGGTTTGCACTCCACCTCTGCTATTACTCCCAGCCCAAGGCAACCACTGATCTGTTTCTGTGTCTACAGATTTGCTTTTTGTGGACATGTCACATAAATGGAATCATACAATAGACAGTCTTCTGTATGAGGGTTATTTCATTTATCACAATGTTTTTGAGGTTTCTTCATGTTAGAGCACATGCCAGTAGATTGTCCCCTTTTAGGGCTGAGTAGTATTCCATTGTATGGATATGCTACAATTTACCTATTTACCAGTTGTTGGACATTTGAATTGTGCCCAGTTTGGACCTATTATCAATAATGCTGCTGTGGACATTCACATACAAGTCTTGGTGTGGACATACGTTTTCATTTCTCTTGAATAGATACCTAGGTGTGAAACCTCTGAGTAGTGGGGAAGGTGTAAGTTTAAATTTTTAAGAAATTGTGAGGCCATTTTCCAAAGTGTCTATTCCATTTTTTATGTCCACCAGCAGTGAGTGAGGGT